AGAGCCGATGAATGAACCAGAAATTTCCAAAAGTTGTACACCCAGAAGATGGACTGATCGGATCAGAAAGCCTGTCCTACGAATGCAACTGAACCCACGACTCCAGTCGTACGAACAATGGCTTCAAAGGGGAGGTGTTAGGAGGCACTCCTAACGAAGATATTGCTCAACATTTCTCTCTCTCTATTTCAGCCTCTCATTGGACTGTTTTGTTCCATTCCATTCTTGATTCTTCGAATCTCGATATTGGCTGTTCAGTTGCTGCAGTATAATTTCCTCAAGGTTTTTTGTCTTCTCAATTTCGTGTGTAACTGACAAGGTTGATTGACTGATTAGTAGAGAACATAACATACCCATATGCAGAAAGAATCATGTAAAACGCATCGATGAATTTACGAAGGTAACAAACACAGTCTACACAAACAGTAAACGCTTTCATTTCGCGCTGGCATCTCACAACCTGTCCTATGCGGGCCTTCCACAGTGAGGACTTGTTGCGAAGAATAAGGCTTTCTTTGGTGTATGGTAGTTGGGTAGGCACAGCAGATGCGTAGCAGACATATCACGGCCAACAAACGAAGAACATTTACGGGGTTCGAATCGAAGCTATGAACCAAGAACTGCCATGTGGATACAGCCCATCAACTTCAGTGAACTGTCAAAGATGACGCTATCGGGCGAAAATCATGCACACCTCAGTGATGAATATATTGACTTCATTTGTCACGACCAGGACTTAGCCAGCTGTGAATATACGCAAACGATCCAAAAACGATCCGAAAAGCATGCAGAAAGAATGTGTGGAACCATAGACATCAAGTACTAAGATTACATGATCCGCACAATCAAAGTTTACCAGTCTTTCTCCAGACATTACATAGTGCGAACACTGCAGAGCGATCACCGTGGAATTCAGTCAAACTAGAATTGGACTTAAATCAGTTAACGATAACAAATACGAGACAAAAGTTTGTCAAGATTGACGTAGTCTAAAGGACGCGTGAAGATCCCATATCTTTCCAAGTTTATCAAGATTAATATTTAGTAAAAAATGGATTGTACAGTGAATGCCTTCCGCCTTTTGAATCGATTGGTTTCAGCCCAACATCAGAGACGCGCGCAATGAAATGTACTGTGAACAGAAAACAAAGCTTACAAAAGTCAAGACACAGCATCAATGTTGATATTGATGCTTCACTACTGTACAACCACAAAGTTTATCTAACTATATTTAGAGCCTTTGATTAAAAAGAAGAGAAGAACGGGTAAGAAAGGGGATCTGGTAGTGGCCCATCACAAGTATTCTGAGGTCCCTACATCTCCAAGCGCTTAATCGGGCAATCTGGAAAATAATTGATGGCATGAACGCTACTCACATCAGCCGGCGGTCATTTCTTCCAATGTCTCCACCCAAGCACGGGGCGATGGTCATGGGGACACACCGCACCAACAATACCTAAACTCTCATACCCTTCTGACAGGTCATACACTATTCCCCTCGCCATTTGCACCAGCATCAATGTGATATTGATGCTTCACTACTGTACAACCACAAAGTTTATCTAACTATATTTAGAGCCTTTGATTAAAAAGAAGAGAAGAACGGGTAAGAAAGGGGATCTGGTAGTGGCCCATCACAAGTATTCTGAGGTCCCTACATCTCCAAGCGCTTAATCGGGCAATCTGGAAAATAATTGATGGCATGAACGCTACTCACATCAGCCGGCGGTCATTTCTTCCAATGTCTCCACCCAAGCACGGGGCGATGGTCATGGGGACACACCGCACCAACAATACCTAAACTCTCATACCCTTCTGACAGGTCATACACTATTCCCCTCGCCATTTGCACCATTCTGAAGGAAGCAAAGAGAACAACAGCAGTCTCGGTAAGCGATATTTCGTCACGGGTAGGATGTGGCCGATCCACCAAAGCTGACACCACTGAACGTTTTTTGCGACCGAAGTACCTGATGCACAACTAAATACCCGTTCTCTAATTACCACGTTATAGATCCGCTGACGACATTCCACGCCCGCAGCTGTTCTGGTGCATCAGTATTAAAAAACCTGAAGTCAATGAGGATGACCATGGCACCGATTAGCTGGAAAACAAAGTCAACAGTAACATGGTGGAGAGTGACATGCAAGTACCAAAACCCAGACTAATGTATACGGTTGCCACACGAACCGGTGAAATCACAGTGACACCAAAAGGCAGTACCAGGCCAAACATCCTCAAATTAACGCAGGGCAAGTAAGGGACGGAAAAGTTATGGGGAACGGGCAATTGCTTCTGTAAGCGTTTGGATAAGCGTAAGGGTGTGAGTGGAAATGAAGTGTGTGCAAATGGAGATTATAGACTGTTTGGTAGAATTATTCGAGCGAGAACGAGATTAGTTCCCTCAATTATGATGGATGGCGAATAGATGACAAGCTATAGGTGTTTCATCGACGAGGCCTGCCGATAAAGGACTGGAAGGAAATAAAAAGTACAGTTCTGGTCGAGTGTACCATAACCATTACCACAGATATCAGAGAGAAACCAGCCGACGAAAACTCACTTCCTTCACGGTAGTAAAGTGTATGGGAAGTAAAACACCTTGTCGATCGACCAGCGGTAAGTAGATGAATGTTTGCTGCGTCGATGCATTGGTCGCACCAGCTGATAGAAGAGACTCAGCAACAGCCATCAAATGTGATTCGGCCGAAGAAATACTGATAGTGGTCGCTGGGGGTATGGAGGCGTCATCAGGCGGAGTTGGGCTGTGCTTCCGTGACGATGACGAGGACGTGTTGCGAGGAGACGTAAACGGTGATGAACTGGCACTAGGGCTGATCTGTACGTCTGGATTAGTTGTAGAACCTAGTGGTTGGGGTTCCATAGGTACGAGAGCTGTGAAGTGCCCACGGGTGTAACCAAGGACTATCGGGTTTGGGGAGCAGAAGCTACGATCCCACAAAAGTGGTATGTAGATTCCTGGGTAAGGGTAACGGAAAAATATAAGAACGGACTAGAAACAAACGAGAAATTCTAGCCAATAGGATAACACACTGAAGTGGGTATATTATTTACCACTGGCGACGTCACAAGTCAGCTGTCTAACGCAGAAAGACATTTCGAACAGGCTGGGCGATTGAAAACTTGCTATTCTCACTGATTGAGGGCCAAACTAAACACAAGATCACAGTGGAGCACTGTAGAGTGTGCTCTGCCACAAAGTACCGTAATTCGGAACGCATTCACAAACCTCAGTGACCTCATCCTCCTAAACATGTAGGTTGTGATCCTTCGAAGGTGTGACTGGTAATAGCCTGCACCTTTAAAACAATTCACAAGACCGTACACACAAGGACGTAGGATATTTCGTTCGGCTCATTGACCTGATGCGTTCAACAGCTCGTGCTCCTCGCGAAGGGACTGAAGTTATTCCGGTCCACTAATTTTCGAACCAACCTCACCTGCCGTAAACGTTAAAAAACCGGATTTCTAAGTAACGGGCGCAATATCAGGGGCTCAACATCGAACGCCACATTAGGAATTGGGATGAATTCCGAAGCGAACATCGGACCTCAAGCAATGCTTTTTGCGCGCACAATATTGCTTGTTTTGCTTTGGTTAGTTACAAAAGACCCAGAAACTCCGAATTTTGGTTGCGCGACAAAATTCTAGTTATTCAACTACGCTATCCCCTTCAAAGATAAGCCACACAGTCGAACACAACCAGTTACTTTTCACTGATATTCCTCTGTTATTGGTAGGTTGTAAGGCTCGTGGCAGACTCTTGGAAAAACAATCAGAGATCCGCTGAGAAAAGCACCGGCTCGTTTACGAAAATATACTTCAATTCAATGGTATACAGGTCGATAAACGATACGTGCGATAGGGGAATAAAATATTGTCCAGGTGTAAAATCCTTTCTACCTACTATGCCACGCGAAAGAAGCATCAGGGTTGAGAGACCGCCAGGTTGCCCAAACCTAGCCACGAGATGCAGAGGTTGGGTTAGCGATTAACCAACGAGGTACCTCGAGCTCTGTGATATAGCAGCATATCGAGACAACGCTGAAACAGATAAAGTGGCTGGTTTCAATCAAACCTCCAAGACTTCGCCGTGCAACGAAAACCCGAGGCCGTTGACCTTTTGTGAAGCGATGCTAACTGAAAAACTTCAACAACACTGCTCTCCAAAGGTGTTAACTCAGAACGCCTACTTATCCTAAAGCGGACCCCAATCCAATTTCTGGTATCAAACCCAGAGTGAAGTGCGACGTCCAATATTTGTTACTTGTAAATATAATAGTATGTGCTTGACGAAAGAAAACGTCGAAGTCACTTAGTATATGTTGTTTTGTCGTTTGGATGAAGTGGATAGGAAGGGCCCAACGGCTCACAGTGATTAAAGATTTACACCTCTCCGGATGACAGTTTTAGCCACTGTTATAGTCCATATATTGAAACGCGGTAATGAAGGCAATAAGATGCCATCTGGACGTACGATTCGACTAGCAAAATACAGCCTGCTGCAAATAGCTACTTCATTCGCCGGGGTAAAAGTAGTCCTGTGGAAATCCTACGGATATCACTTACGTGCGGATTGGTGGAACAAGTCTCATCGATCACCGATGGTGCATATGGCATGGAGTTCAAAAAACCTCGGTTTACGACATGCTTTTTCCCTTTTCAAGCTCGTTGCGGACAAGTGCTAAAGTCAGTCACGAGACCAGCGGATCCAAGTTGTGGGAGTAATCTAAAACTTGTGTGACCGGGGGTTACATTTAGAGAACAGGACGGGTCAGTCGATTCTTACCATAAAGCAGCCTTACGCGAGTGTTCAAAAGGCGCGCGGTATCTGTCAAATCAAATGCGGTACGCGAAATAATTGTTGAACACCAAATGGACTGGATCAAAGTGTCAATGAGCTTTAGCTGCAGCGTTACAATCTACGGATCGAACCAGATACACCAGATACAGCAGTCAAGACAAGATCGAGGACCTCATCCTGGGATTTGATGGAAAAGCTCGCACGCGTCGCCGTAACTTTCACATTGTGCGCAATTTTTTCACGGCAAAACTATCAAGTTGGAAAACCGGCGAGCATACCTAAAAAACTAGCAAAAGTTCAGTTTTCAACCTTTTCGCAAGTCTGTACAAACTAAGGTCGCAAGCAGAAAAAATGTTGAGACGATTGATGTGCGGTGAAGACAGATGGATCACGACTTGACACCCACCCAACAGTCTATCGATCGATTGAATATACAAACAAACGCACTATCAGTTGTTACATTGGTGAACACAAGCGATAGGCGTGAATACTAACTAGCAGGAAAATGGCAAAATAGGTCAATCACGTGAACAATTACCTTGGAAGTTGGCGATTCCGATTGGCTCGTCTCGATAGTTCTTTATGTACTTCACTCCGTACACAATGATGGGTCGACGAAGTATGTGACTGAGGGCAAAGATATGAATTTGTTCAAGAGCGCCACCTACGAAGCAAAGAAACAATATGAAGATATTTAAGCATATTTCACCGTAGTAACCCTGTTATCGTTATTCGTACAAGGCACGTGACTACTAGCGGCATATATGGGTCAGCCAAACAAATCATGCGTCTACTCAAAAGGGTGGAAGCAACGATGCATAATCAGCCACTCAAAGGAACGTCGTTTTCGTGGTGAGACAAACAATTCTGTAGAATCGTGCGAAGAAAAAAGAAAAGTTCAAAATCGAAAAATCATGAGTATGGAGGCGGGTGCAACACAGTTGTGGTTTGGTACTTATCTGTCAGTTATAGTGGAGCGAGAGAAGAAGGGATATTAACTAAAGAACAGATAGTTTACGATTGATGGAACTAAACGTGTTAGCGGGTAGCACAAATGAAAAGTGACAAAGACGCAGGTCATCCCAGTCAGCTGCATACTCTATTCTATAGAAGACTAGCAGAAGCACCTTGTGTAAACACGTTTATTTCAACTGTCAACCATCAAACGTGTATAGCCGGTCTATCTCCCTACCCAGTTAACATCGCCATTCGAGATCGCCCGTTACATTGCTTGATTATGGGTACCGAGTATGGGGATTGGGGATTTCAAGAAAACGCGCGAGCTTGCCTCCTAAAAGAGATTTTTCACCAGTCAGCTAAACCAAGTGGTAGCATAACAGTACATGAAAACTGCTTAGTAACTCGTCAAAGACTGCTAACCAGCTTGTTTAAACAAGTCCGTTTTTGCACACAAGCCACAACAACATGCAATGTAGGCTAAAAAGGAGAAAACCCTTCGACATACGTAGCCTCATCCCAATCACACCCATCACAGGTCTTTGAACTCCACATTGGAGTCTGTATAGGATCTCCGGTTCAGACCAAATAGCCTGCCAGTACCTGAACAAACAGAGCTAAACCGCGTGTGAGTTTTTCTATAACTGATGCAATACGCACAACTGTTCAGCTGACCGATAATGTGACAAGTGAACTCAGCCTCTGCATTAGAAGTAGTCGGTAAGCTAAATGTAGGTAACAAGACAGAACCCTGTTCATTCGCGCAACTAGAGCTACATACGGCCCATGCATCCAGGAGTGACCTCACAGGTAAACAGGTCCCCGAATGCAAGCATTCCTACATCAAAAAAGATGTCGAATTCAATTAGCTCATGCAACCGGAGGCCACAGTAGAAGCTGAACTAGTGTTGAACTGAGCAGGCCCTTATAGTCTAGATGTGATGAAAAAGCAGACGCCGACGTGAAGAAGATTATTGGAGGTGGAGTTTTCAATCTTAATGCGCTTACGTGGTTGACTTGCTGCACTCAACACATTGTCCCAATCTCGGCGGCATTGGTTCTCATCCAGGATATAGTGACACGCAGCTTGCAGCGCTTCGTAATCGTGCCAACGAGAATAGAAGCTAGCCTCGCACGCTCGCAAACTTTCTGAGAGGGTGCGACGCAGTACGTTCTCTCGATCAAATATACCCCAGCAGGCCTAATTAAGAAAAAAATACAGATGGAGAATAAAATAAAGTAACTAAAAATATCAAATATTATCGTTTCAACCACAAACAGGTGAAATAAAGGTGTGCTTTGAATCACACAATCCTGTAGACACAATGGACAGAAGGCACGGTCTGCTTGGAGCCAAGACAAGCGATAATTAGTTGAGCAATCTATTCTCGTGGCTTTAGGGATATTTTCCTTTTGCAAATACGTCTTTGTACAAAATACACGCCTGAAAAAATTTCGCTTGAGTTCGTCTCCGAGCCCAATAAAGACGTTGCGGATAAAGCGATATCTCGTCACCATTTGGAGAAGAGGCGCTTGGTGGATAACCGGTCAAGCAGCACTAATCATCCATGAACGTCTCCGTAAACAGTACCCTTTGTCTTGATTTGAACAACAATGTAGAAATGAAAAACAAAATCTCTAGTTGATTATAGGTCGGCAGTTGATCATACAAGCGCGCAGTGGACCCGTGAAACCGCAGATTTTAATATATTCTGTGTTCGGAGCATCGTTTCAAAATTTCCGACTCGATGAGTTCATGCATACCTGCATGAACTGCCGAATAACCTAAGACACTTTAGAGCTGTAGGTTAACACGACGGACTTTCAAGACCCAGTAACCAACAGCAAGTTGGTATACTCAAATAAAAGAGAATAGGTCAGGAAGATCACGTGGAGGGATACAGATATGCAGACAGCGCAGTCTTTAGGATAATTACGACCCGTTCAAAGTGACCTACAAAGGGTTCTGGTCACCATGGTCTATGTAAACGGGTGGTCGCCGAAAACGAACCGAAATTCCAATTCAACGTCCCAATGTGCTGCGACGGAAAGAGGCTGGACAGTTCAGCACACACAGCCCTAAAAAACTAAACGCCACGAATTGGGTTTGAGACCAGGCTTCAAAACGATATCGCTTATCAGTTATAACGGTGGTCCGCGCTTTCACAAAGAACACAAAACTATTTACCGCTGGTGGATAGACGAAACAAGTGTTGATGAAGGACGGACTGGATAGAATGAGGCATCTGGCAACATTGAGGCCCAAAAGTCTTCCAACATCAGCACCTATAAACTGAATGACATCAAATACTTCAGTGTTTCACTCTTTGGGTGCAAACAGTAGGAAGCTCGAGAGGCTGAGATCCGAGTAATCTGGTCGCAACCTAGCCTTTAAATAGTCTGCACCTAGATCATCTAGCTCTGTGAGTTCAGTTCCATGAGAAGTTTGCGTGTTTGATGTGGTGACAGATTCATATCAACGACAAGATTGCTATCTATGGGAACGGGGACATGGAAAAATCCAGATGGATGAGGGCTATAGGGGCAAAAGCGTCAGCTAGCTCCGCAAAAATAGTTCGGGTAGCATCACTTACCTGTAGCACACTATCGAGAAGACAGTCACCGGCTGTTCGATTCCACAGGGCGAAAAGCCGACTGGCTTGTTTGTGACCAGGAATAAACCACCAATTAATCGCTTTCGCATCATCTTCCAGTTCTGGAGAAAGAAAAGTAGGGGTCTTAGGGATATTCACCGACGCTATGATAAACGCAAATCATTGGGACAATTGAAGTCATAATGTTAAAATATAACTTAATTAGAGGCGAAACACAAGGGTAACAGACCCGACAGAATCCTGAAGAAAGTATTCGAGTGAGGTCTAAGACAAATAAACACCGACTCATAAACTACCCACTTACGATGACAGCACTATTAAAAAAAGATGCACGCCATCTGACACCGAAAAATTAGTAAGCTTTGTTACCCTCTCTGCACATAGCTGCCGAACTCGAGACAGCTCAGTTGTCACAAATCGAACTAAGTGACCCCAAGGTCCGTGGTTTGAACGCAACCCAAACATCTCGATTGTTCATGACTAGGCTTGGATAACCTGGCAGTATCTCAGCTCTCGTGCTTCCTTCGAGTGACATGACAGTTAAGCACATAAAGGGCGTTACAGCTGAAAGATTATTATTCATTATTATAGCTGTCGTCCAACCGCACACAAACATACGTACTCTACTGTACGGTCGCTCAAGGTTACGCTCTACAGTAGTCACGAGATAAAGATATAATTTCAAAACGAGTCAGAGCGTAAGATATCGTGCGCGTTGGCATTTCTCTCAAAGCATAGCGGTTACTCTCATAAAGTTAGATACAAACATTACGCCAGGAAAACTGAACAGTAAGGGTCAAACAGTCAATACCACCTGGAGGCAACTTAGCGATTTTGGTGACCAGCGAGAAAGGTGGTGTAAGTCCGGAAAACAACAGATGAACGGGTCAAATCGACTGACCACTGGTTGTGAACATAGGCGTGACATCTCGAACGATCTGGAGTTGCAGGGATATGAATGCGTAGAATGGACTACACTCAAGGTTGACAGGCCATGTCAAGCTTAACCAGTTTGATTGTAATTACGGGCCCACATACATAGGTAAAACGACGAGATGTAGTGGAACATTGGATGATGAACACGTCCTGAAGTGTCCGCAGATATGATTCTGAATTGTTCAAGAAGCGCAATATTTAAACAAGCTGAACATCAGGCACTTGTAAGTTTCTTCAGCGTTATCTTTATTCCGAAGCATAGGCTCCTGAAATCGGAAACTGTTGCCCTCAACAGATTCGACCGCCACATCCCCCGCTTACGTACAAGAAACTATTCGTGACTGCTTTCGCATTAGGCTGCTAAGCCTTATTTTTGTGTTTGTTCCTCATTTATGTCAGGGTTCGGTAGGTTATAGTAATGAACATACACTGATATTAGTATGTATTTTTATTATCCCCGCAATTCGAGCCGCTTGGAATTTCAAGCCTGGGCTGGCAACCAATCGTCGATTGATTTAATCTGACCATCTTTCCTTGCTAATTTCCTACATCAATAAGCCACTTTCATGCGATACAAACTACTTGACCTTTGCTACTGAGTTTTCTTTGCACGACGCCTGTGCCTAACATCACAGGAATAACCGCCGAGCTGCGAACGAAATATCTATGTAGACATGAAGACGACTTACACCAAAACTTTGTTCTTTTTCACATTTGTTCGTCGGGATGGAATCTATACACAGCGAAATGAAGCATCAATGACACGGTATATTCGTTGCACTATCATTGGAAAAACATGTTTTTTGTCTAGCGGTAACGCACTACCCATGAGGCTGCTGAAAATTTTTCGACAATCCACGACCAGTTTCTTGGGGCTCATCTGGTGGGCGCAGTCCCCGAGATTCTGTCAACCTTATGCTCTCAGTGAACCAAAATTTGACAGATTTCGATAAACACTCATTTGCACAGAGATTTGGTGTTGACAGGAATCTCAACTGAATCCACCTGAACCTCTTCGCTTTAAATTTTCTTATCTGCTTCCCTGCTTTAGTTTTCGAATAAGTTAACCTATGCCTTTTTGGCTGCGTTCCTTTTCGGAGTCTCATCTGGTGGCGCAGTCCCCGAGATTCTGTCAACCTTATGCTCTCAGTGAACCAAAATTTGACAGATTTCGATAAACACTCATTTGCACAGAGATTTGGTGTTGACAGGAATCTCAACTGAATCCACCTGAACCTCTTCGCTTTAAATTTTCTTATCTGCTTCCCTGCTTTAGTTTTCGAATAAGTTAACCTATGCCTTTTTGGCTGCGTTCCTTTTCGGAGTGGCCTGCCGTATCAAAACACGAAGATGGAGCCCCGGAAAAATAGATAATTCCACATGCGGTATGCGCTAACTGGACTACGTACACAGTGTAAACACGAGACAATAGGGCAGGAGGGTGAATACGAGGAGCTGCACCTAAAGCCCGAAGGATAGTCCAAAGTAGTCAGTAAGGTATGCGGAAGGTGTCTGTACCACACACGGCTAGCCATTATCCAGCATGGCTTGTACAGCGGTAGTAGCAGCTGTAGGCCGAACATTCCAGAATGTCCATTGTCGCTGAGGGCAACTTATATACTCGTGTATTGGACCTATGGAGATGAATTTAGCCACACACAATACAATGCAATGCAATACAACACAACACAAATTGTAGTACTATGTATGATAACTATATGGGATGGCAATGAAAACAAACCGACAACCCAATGGGCAGTGAGTCTCCGATAGGATTGGACGATGGTACTTGCACGGATGTCTACAGCCGATTAACAAACGCTTGCACGGACTTCAATAGCCCACTTATCATGAATATATTTCCGATTTACCTGTTCCAATTTCACTCTGTGTAACGGAAACAGTTTCTGTAGTTTATAGGGTTTGAATGGAGTATCGTGAACCTTTTCAAACACGGAGTCAACGAGTTTTTACGCTTGATTTCAGTGGAAAGCTTAACTTGTGCTGGTATCAGAATAATATGCGTAGTTTATACTTTTAAGCATAAGACATAGAAACCCTGTTTGACATACTATACGAGGCTGCGAACCTCGAGATCTTACTCAAATCCTGGATAGAAACTGTCTCCAACTGAAAAGTTGGGTAGTCGTATGAATTCGCTGAAACCCTGGTTCGACTATCAGAGGGGCTGAAGTTTCCTCAACAACGATATCGTCAGCACAGTCAATCAAAATATTCCTACGAAAACAAAGATCTACCTATAAAAGCCATACCAAATGATAACCGCATGACGTGTAAACGCCCAACTATATTTCTGAAATAAAGTCAATTTGCTGGCAGTTTCTGTGACTGCTTCTTGATTTCTTGATTTTAGGCTAACCGACCAAGGCGAGCGAGTGCAGCAAATACTGAAGAGATATATCCAAGAAGAAATATAGGCATTTGAATAGATCGATAAAACGCAACGAATTTTGTCACTTCTTATCCGAACATACATAAAAACCTGTAGATTCATCCTTGTAAGTCATCTTTCCTTGTTGACCACGTAAAGGCCACTGCGTTTCCATTCGATAACGAGAACGGTAACGTTTAGCTACTTTCCGCAAAGCAACCGACTGTGTGGAAATCGACGCTAGTTATAGTAATGGGTGTAATACCAACAATCAGATTTCGCTTTGAGTTGTAAGAGAACACTCTGTTATGCGCGGATAGCGATGTAAGAAGCCGTGGATTACTTTGACATCTGAGATTTGGTCTTCCGGCTGAAAATTCTACAAAAGACCACTCAAGTGGACTGTTCCTTGACCATCTGTCGTCGATTGCGTTTTCAATATTAGTCCTTGGTTTGCTATTCTCTCCGCTACTAGAAGGTGCGGTATCTTGAGATAACTTTTTCACTGAGACGGAGGAGGATCGACATTGAGAGAGCGATCACCGAATTTTCCACAAGGGCGGTGAAGCTAGAACCTTTGCGATGGGGTGGGAAGAACCGAGCAAACAGTGCCCGATTCTGACTGGTCCACATGCAGACCAATCATGATCTGTCCTCTTTTGGCCAGTAGCCACTTCGTTCAATCAACCGGATGTTCGGTTATTTCGGGCGAAGCGCCATCAGATATCTAATCAGTCATATTTTCTTGTACAGTGAGAACAGTCTGTGAATTCGTGTTCTTTATAAATGAAAAATAATCCCTATATTTTAATCCCCCACGAAAGCGATCGTTCACACTAATCAGCAACACCTGAACAAATCATCCATTCACAGGGGCTAACTCTAATGTCTGAGTCTGTCTGTTGCCGAAAACCAAATATCACTACCGCAATGCGAACGAACGCAAACGAATCTTCAGCTCTACTGCCGAGGGCAGTTTCCCTAATAAAACGTAGCCTATTGAATTCATTATTAACTTTTCGAAGTTACCTGAACTCGTTCGTCTTGGCGAAAATGATAGGGTTTCACTGGCTGGAATCACTGCTCACAAAACAATAAGTACTGAAAAAATTTCCACACGGTCGACCCTAGCTCGTTTGATGAGAAATGTCGGTATGTAGTTCCTAGGCTTTTGACAACTGAGCGGATACTAGACTATGATAATCCCGTTGTCAAAGTTCAATCCGCTTCAAACATAATAGGCTGATAAATTCGAGTTAGTATTCAACACACTAGTCATTCCTCGGCAGAAAAAACATAGGCAAAGAACCGCCGATCCTTTGTAGCATTGTTTGACACCATACCTGTTTATTCGCGTAAGAGATGACCTTCTAAAATCGGGGCATCAAAGTATGCCATTGACAGTGACCCTCAAACTCTCGCCGTCTAGATCTTGGAAAACTACTCGATAAACTTTTCTTTCTGATAATATCAGGTAGAATTTCGATTAGAAAATTGAGTTTCGAACTTGCAAATAGGTAAATTTGCTGTCTTCTTAATAGGTGAACAAGGTGAAGATGGCGACACAGTAAGTTGAATATCACAGTAGAGTGATGTAGCGCATTAGTGCACGTGACATCCCTACCCTGGAGTCCAAATATGGAATGTGCTTGCCTGCATGTTCTTTGTGAACTGGATTAGAATACAGAAGAATGCAATTAGCAATGGACTTAATGTACCCAAAGAAACATCCCTCGTAACCGTCACGAACAACGTAACTCACCCAAGGTAATCGAACCGGGGAAAAAACCGACGATGGATTGTTTTCGGGACTGTTAACATGCTGTCACTGCAGAAAAAGTTATTCGCACAAAACTAACACGCACCTCTGGCTGACCTGTCTAGCACCCAAAAGAGATGGACGCATCCCGGGTTAGGGGTAGAGGCGCATTTGTTGGAAACTGAGTCTGTCGAAACGATGGTGTTCATCTCTTGTACCGTTATGTATGCATTCACTTAGAGAATATACGAAACGAACCAAAACGCTCGACTGTTAGCTAACCGACCTACACATACCTTGTGGTCAATCACATGATTAAAGGATATCGATCGAATCAGCTGTTTGTCGACTGTTTGCAAATCACGCGTCTGCGTTGCAGTTTAGTATGCACTTAACATCAAATATGAACTAAATAAAATGGAAAACTATGAAGGGCAAAATAACACCGAGCTGATGCAAGTGTAGGCGTCGAAACGAATGGAAATTGACCGTCCAATGTTGAACATGAATCATAATCTGTGCAGCTACATCCAGAAAAGTCGTCCGCTAAACCGGATTGTTTTGACAGAGCGTCAAGAGGACATGCGTCATGTTTCAGTTTCAGCAAATACCCTGATTAATGTACAAGACTTGTACTTTCAAACGCCAGACTAAGCATAAAAATAAATGGCTCACCTGTTTGCGCCTGTGTATCGCATAGCTCCGAAAGTAGCAAATACTTGACAGGCGCAGGGAATTTTCCGACCGAATAGGGAAGGGCAAAAGTTCCCCATTCAGATAGGAAAGCACACGGAAACTCCCCCTGATTGTACTTAATTCCAGAAGCGATAAAGCTCCGAAGTTCTCGGGCAATTTGTTGGCTGGCTTGGCAAGGCATCCATTTGCTTCGAGTTACACCACTTCGGTTCGATATACTAGAGGCACGACTCAGGATCTGTTGTAATGGTAGATTTGTGTGATTTCCAGAGGTTCGACGTCCACCGGGCTGGTTGGTCTTCGATTGGGAAGTCGCACCCTGTGGTGTGCATGGACTAAGGGAATTGCGCGACCCGCTCTTTGAAGTGGCAGTCATGGATACAGCAGCACCAGTGGCCTGAAGCCCACTCAAAGCAATGAAGAGATTTATCAAGTCCGTTCGTCCACAACGTATGGCGAGATCAACGAGCGTCAGTCCCGGACGAAATTTCGAACCATTGGAAACACTAGCAGGTTCTTCAGCGAAAGGTATCTCGGATACCGGCGCGAAACCAGAAGGCTGAGTTTTGTATTCGTCACTCGGCAAGGGAGATACATTTTCCAGGCTAATGGAGCCACAGGGATTGGGCGTCGATGATGCTGGGCTTTGTAAGTGGTCCATATGGCGACATTCCTACGAAAGAAGACAGAGCAACAAACCTGAAGACAAGGTAAGCCTGTGTTGAAGAATAATGCCATTGTGTGCTAAAAAATCGGCATCTTTCCCTAACATACGAATAACTCAGCAAAAAGGATGGACATATTAACGACTAAAACAGGCACCATAACCACCAGAAAAAAGCGATCACCTGTGGCTTACTTCTGACATGATGCACAATCCTCGTGCGACTCGAAGGCAGCACGAGGACTGAAGAGCTGCCAGGTTGCCCGAACCCAGACAGGAGCAATTGGAGAGACGGGGCGGGGTTCCAACCAAGAATCTTCCGGAAAGCACCTCGCGTCTCCATCGCTCATCAGAATAACACTTGAGTTATGCTACTGAACAGTCAACATTCGCAGAGCCGCTGTTTCACCATTGTTGCTTGAAGAGACATTGGGACCACAGGGTATCCTATGGCTTTGTCAGAGAGCGCTGTCATAACATTCTACACTTCTCTAAATTGAGCCAATCAGTAGTGATTGGGACACATTCTCCACAAAACAGACTCCTAACTGTCCAAAATCTTCCTGCAGCACTATTCTGTTCAATATGGCATTGTCACACAAGAGGGCACTTGAAAACCTGGTTGTATACAGCTCAGACGAACGCTGAACTACTTGGTCTGCGGGATCAAACAGCGCAAAAGAGACTGGATAGGGTTGTGCTCAGATCTTTCTGCCGATCCAGCTGAGTGGGAAGCAGCGAGTTGGGGTATTTTCGGAGCCGATTCATCCTTCTCTAGGAGGGTTAATTAAGGTGTTACACTGCCCAAAAGCAGTGAATACTAGTACCCCTTAAGGACAATCATACATTCCGTAAGCAGGCCAATTTACCTTACTGGACAAAGGTCTACCGAAATGATGCAACAGAGTGAGCAATTTCATAAGAAAACTGTTACCTGGAGTCACAAGTTAAAGATGTATATCGATGGGGATCAAGGACACATAAGCAGTCCACTGGAGTATAATAAACCCATAAGTCGGAATTACGGTTCCAGTTCACACCACAAGTCGGGGCTAGTCAACTAAAAAATCATGCCAGAACAAAGAAAGTATTCCCCATACAAGTGTTGTGAATACTAAATATTCTACTTCCATGACACTGTAAAAAAAATAAGTCACTCAAAAACCGGCTGATTCTTCCACCATAGTTAACCACTGTTTGCACGGAATGTAACAAGGTCCATACAGTTCTGAAGTTTTGGCAGCATGACTTACCACTATGTACTCTCATTTCGCAGAGGGGAGTTCCACAAAACACTTTATTACTCCAACTTCTACTGTGCACTAAGGTCTCAAAGTGGTGTTGCACTACAGTTGTCTATTCACCGAGTAGGGCAATAGATATTTGCATCAAATGAGGTAGGCGAAAACTCTAAACTCCCCCACAAACAGTAAGCCGATCTCTTATTGTCAGACAAGAAAACAACTCAATTGGCTGTGGTGCTCATTTGCCGCGACACCCGAAATAGGTATATTAGACTGGGTTACGGGTCAGGTTCGGAATTGAACCGACATGTCGACCATTCGAACACAGTGAGTTGGGCCTGGATTCTTACATGGTTTAGTTCATGAAACAAAGCTTTACTATAGAGATAATGACAGGATAATAGGGCATATACATTATAAATATATATNTATATATATTACTTAGGTGAGCGAAGTTTACATCAACCCACCTGTTTTGTCAACCGCCTTTCCATCCGACCGCCGCTTAACAGATAGCGTTCAATGGAGGCAACCTCACCGTCTACAACAGCACGACAAGCCTCAAGCCAAAGTTTATCACGAAAGCTCATTTTTGTGCGTCGGGCTGCTGCCGAGATGCTGTCCCGATTGGTGAGGTCTTCAGCGGCGAGGTCTGTACCGTAGTGAGGTGACTGAGGAGGAAGCGAAGGAGTCGTTGGAGGATGAGCAAGTGCCGCCGAAGGAAACGGTGGTGGTGGACCACAACACATTACGCAGAATTTGCTTTTTGGCCAGTTCTCGTAAGTACATTGTGGACACGACCATTTATCAGATTCAGCGGGAAGCGAAGGTGAACCTGGAGAAGTGGCAGATACCGAAGGGACAGGCTTTTGTGCCGCGGGTTCTAATTCAGCTAACTCATACAGGACATGAAAGCATTGTTCACATTTGAAAGACGTGGGTTTGTTCAAATAGGTACAAGATGAACAGGCTATTGAATGTTCCAATTCCTCAGAAACGTTGGGTTCGTCGACTTTCTTGGGGCAAACCTTTAGACGCTGCATTTCCTCTTCAATAAGCGCAGAGGAGCGGGGAGTCCGACAGATAGTACACTTGGTCGATGCTGGCCAGTTCTCGTATGTACACACAGGACAAGACCACTTTGTCCGTGGATTCATCGTGACAGGGGGAATCCAGTGTTGACAGCTACGAGCTACACCTCCCCAGGGCCGCTTGGTTCAGGGTGGCCGAAACCCCCACACTGTCAATCTGTGATTGCGGGCTATGAGGAAACGAAAAATTAAGGAACATGGATGAGCTCTATATTATTTGGCAGAAGGTAATTCATGATGCACAGCTGTCTTTTTCTGCGACAGCGGGTATCTTATTCTTGTATCTTGAACTACTTGGTCAGTCTATAGACCTGGAACAGATAACCGCGTTGCTGATACCCTATCTCGCAACCTTTGTGCCAACATTACTGGGACGGAAAAACTTGAAGAACTTCACAACATATTATGCCATCCCGGGGTCACGAGATTTGCACATTTTGTTCGTTCTAAGAATCTTCCTTTTTCAGTCAGCGATATCCGACGTGTGGTGTCCAACTGTTCCACTTGCTCCGAGCTCAAACCAAAATTTTGTGACACCTTTCGTGGCCAGCTTATCAAAGCCACACAACCGTTCGAACGCCTTAGTATCGACTTTAAAGGCCCACTTCCCTCAAACACTCGTAATAAGTACCTCTTAACAATCGTTGACGAGTATTCTCGATTCCCTTTTGCTTATCCCTGCGCCGATACGTCCTCTTCCACTGTAATTCGTTGTTTGAGTCAACTGTTTTCACTGTTTGGTATGCCTGCTTATATTCACTCAGATCGCGGTTCTGCATTCATATCAACTGAACTCAAACAATTTTTGTTCGATAAAGGCGTTGCCAGTAGTCACACCGCTGCATATAATCCACAATGTAATGGTCAGGTTGAACGACTTAATGGTACCCTTTGGAAGACCATCTGCCTGGCTCTAAAATCGCGCGGCTTGCCTGTCACACATTGGGAGGCTGTCCTCCTTGATGCTCTTCACTGTATCAGATCCCTGTTATGTACTAGTATCAACTGTACCCCACACGAACGTTTTATGCCGTTCACACGACGATCAGCCAACGGTGCCTCTCTACCTACCTGGCTTACTGTCCCTGGGCCAATCCTATTAAAACGCAATGATCGAGTCTCTAAATATGACCCTCTGGTAGAGGAAGTGGAACTCGTCTCTTGTAATCCACAGTACGCCCACATAGTTCGTCCAGATGGCAAACACGAAACCGTATCCTTGCGCCGCTTGGCTCCCAAAGGCAACGACATGACATCCGACACAGAACAGGAACCAATACATATCGCCGAACAAGGGGAGCCTCACACAACACCAACAATCCACCGTGGTTGCTCAGAAACTGAACTCTTGCCTATTAACGATGCCTCGCCATCCCATTCTAGTGCAGATCCAGGAAATCACTTGGACATTCTTATCCGACAACAGCGCACCCACCCATATAATCTACGCAACAGAGAGGCGTAAACGACTCCATGTAACTATTACAGCTTTTTATTTTTTTTACATTCTTTCTCCGCAAAGTACACACTTATTCCAAGGCGGGGAGAATGTCATGACTATATAACCCATACATTTGCATAACCCATTAACTCGTGATTCTCACTCCATTTTCAGCTCATGTACTACAGTTATTAGACGATTAAAGCGTACATTACGTCTTCCTATTCTGTCTCCTTTCTAATCCCGTCCTGGAACTACTCGACTCTCGCAACAGGTAGCCTTTCAGATAACAACCGTGTGGACTAACAATTGGACCTTGTGAGAAGCAACCTGAGCATCTCGTGCGTGAAATTCAAAAAATTGTGGTTCCCTCCTCAGGCATAGCTACAATCAATCGGAGGAAAGTACGAAGACCGTTATATTTTCACGTTTCCCGAACTCTGAAATATGCGCAGTACTCAGGAAATAGAGTGAGAGTTTTGGGGAGATGAAGAATGTACACAAATCATGATGGTGATTGAATATGCCAGACGAAAGGTAATGCGACCATATGGCGGTGAGGTTGAGGCAACACGCCAGAGTATCGTGAGATAAAAAAAACGGTACTTCCAAGTACTACCGCATATTAGTACGATACAAGGTCATCAGATTTCACGGTCGCTAAAGCGCGGAAAGTGCACGACTTGCGCAGCTACATGGAAAACATTAAGCACGGGATTATCGACAACAGCTGAAGTCAGAAATGTGACCAACCACGAATAGACCACCGGACGTGGTGTCAAACAAATCAAAATGCGTTGGACTACTGGGAGAGAAAAATGGGAGCTCTCGCGTTCGTTTTGTCTGCATGCAATGTTTCGGACGCTTTTTCTACTGTCCTCGATGCTGGGTCATATCCCCGACCGGGGAACCGTCTTCATCTAACAACGGCTTAGTCGTCACTTTCTCCACCCCTAACCTCATCGTCCATTCTTCTAACCGTACCAATCGCCCACGAACAAGCCACCTTTCTGTCGTTTTTCTGTTGCAAACGTGATGTGTAAAAAACTCTGCTCAATAGCTCACACGTTTACTTAAAAAATTGTGGTTCCCTCCTCAGGCATAGCTACAATCAATCGGAGGAAAGTACGAAGACCGTTATATTTTCACGTTTCCCGAACTCTGAAATATGCGCAGTACTCAGGAAATAGAGTGAGAGTTTTGGGGAGATGAAGAATGTACACAAATCATGATGGTGATTGAATATGCCAGACGAAAGGTAATGCGACCATATGGCGGTGAGGTTGAGGCAACACGCCAGAGTATCGTGAGATAAAAAAAACGGTACTTCCAAGTACTACCGCATATTAGTACGATACAAGGTCATCAGATTTCACGGTCGCTAAAGCGCGGAAAGTGCACGACTTGCGCAGCTACATGGAAAACATTAAGCACGGGATTATCGACAACAGCTGAAGTCAGAAATGTGACCAACCACGAATAGACCACCGGACGTGGTGTCAAACAAATCAAAATGCGTTGGACTACTGGGAGAGAAAAATGGGAGCTCTCGCGTTCGTTTTGTCTGCATGCAATGTTTCGGACGCTTTTTCTACTGTCCTCGATGCTGGGTCATATCCCCGACCGGGGAACCGTCTTCATCTAACAACGGCTTAGTCGTCACTTTCTCCACCCCTAACCTCATCGTCCATTCTTCTAACCGTACCAATCGCCCACGAACAAGCCACCTTTCTGTCGTTTTTCTGTTGCAAACGTGATGTGTAAAAAACTCTGCTCAATAGCTCACACGTTTACTTCAGTTCATTACTTTTGCTGATGATGAGGGCTCCGTCCAAACGATCTGAAACTTCGGATTCACACCTTGAAGTATAGCTCGTTCCAGCTTTTGCGTTGCAATCTTCGCGACGGACCCTGAGATTAGCTATCCCAATTATGCATCTCCCATCTGTTCGTAAGGGTGATGATTAAATTGAAAATATAGTCAGGCAAGGATCAAGCCATTCGGAGATTGCTTCTTTCTCTAGGGGTCCGTTTGGAACCCCATGGCTATCCAATTGTCCAGCTAGTTGTTTTTGTGATATCTAAGCCCATAGATAACCAAAGTGAGTTCACATCGAACGTGAACTCACTTGGGGCAAGATGGCCCAAGTGGTTAGAGCGCGATTTACTGGCCAAAAGGTCCGTAGTTCGAACCCGACCTCTGCCTCATGACTTCCCCTGGCTGGGCTCGGGAAACCTGGAAATATCCCAGCCCTCGTGCAACCTTCAGGTGGCATGGCAGTTATCACCGAAAGGGTGCTACAGCTGAACGATTTTCGATTTTATTTAGGTACATCGAATGACACCATTCCGTCTTCAATTGGTACGCCCGGATCAGTGACCCCGGAAGCCTCGTCAGAGGAGGAGTCAAACTAACGCCTGTGGTTGTTACATTCACTAAGGATACCCCAGTTGTCTGTGAAGGTTTCTTTCCCCTAGATAGACCCAAATAGGCTAGAGGCACAGGCTGAGAAGCCCGCCACCATTCTTGAAAAAAGCAGGTTATCAGGATCAGCAAAATGACGACACTCGAGTTGAGGAATACACTCGGACACCTCTGAGACTGAAGGCGCTCCATATGCACCTTTCTGTCGAAGGCTAGGCTTCCGAGTTGGACGTAGCAGGTAGCCAGCTGAATCGCTGTTCGAAGTACTGTGCCCAAAAGTCCAAACGTTCTGCTTTGCTGCATGCCAGGGAGCCATTTCGGTCCATGAGTAGTTCGCTGACAAGAGGTTTCCGAGGACCGGTTGAACGAATCAAGTGGAACAGCTTGCGGACGTTCCCAACATTTGTTTGCATCTCCCATTTCTTCGGCCTCTCGGACCCACCAAGCTTCTTGGTCTGCAAGGACACTCAGTTTCACCACTCGTCGGATGATGCGTCGGGTGGAGTTTTGGTTGTAGCCCGGAAAAACCTGCTGTCGGGTCCCCAGCAAAGACAAAGTTCTATCAGAGATCCAATGTTTGGATGAGGTTAGCTGGGTCCTACCGCAAACAGGAGTCCGGCGTTGAGTAGCGCTCTGGATATCTTTTCCCAATGGCCGTTTAGATCCGACATCGGATTCCCTTGCAGGCATTCAAGGAGCTGGTTCTGATAGTTTCGTTTGATTTCTGGGTCCACTAGCTTCTCAATGGCTAAGCGAGGTGTGTGCATTTTGCATACATCTGAAAAGGGCAATGAAAAGCGTACACGTGCATCTTCGGAGTCCCCGCTGGTGTTTCAGAAGAAGCGACAGGCGGTGAAGGAGTCTCGCCACCGATAACTGATGGCGATGTTGTCTAGTTGGATTTGGGACTGGATTGTTGGTGAGTGCCATGTCATCCAACGATTTCCGCTGTTCCGGAAATTTGTACTGCAAAAGGACAGTCTGCGGTCGGTACACGCCTGAAGTAAGCGAACCCTGTTGTCCGTGCACGTCGTATCCAATCCAAGACGACCACCAAATCTGGCCCCGTAGTTCTTAGTTTCTCTACCTGGGTATTCATGTCACCAGCTTTTAGCCCACTGTGGAAAGGCATCTAGAGCATTATAGTAACTGTCCTCGGAAGATCAGTTGAGGCGTAATCAGACACAATAAACAAGGTAAAATAGACCACACTTCCCGTGGATTCTCTCACAGACGTTGCCAAATGAACCACGTAGAGGCGACTGCCAACGAGTATCCAAGCGATCCACTCGGTCACTCGATACAATACCCGCCCCAGTATATCCAGCTGTGGCAGCCTCTGCATCACCAGAGGTGCGCAGCCGGAACCCTTAAGAAAGCGAGAGGGCAGTCAGTTCAAAGACAAGAACAATATCGTGTGTACATTCCAGATCGATAAGGTTCTTGTCAGCAGCTACTCAACCAAATAA